TTCAGGGCATAATCACCTCCCTTATCTTAAAAAAAGTGTAACTTTGCTGATTTTGTTATCGTCTGCCATCAGCAAGCAGGAAGCAGTGTTAAATAATCATCTGCATATTTCTCCCTTACTAATTTTAAGTTACGTTGCTTAGAAAAGGCTGACTATATGCATAAGAATGACAGGACTGGCTCAGACAAAAGGCTTGTGATCCTGCCTCCAACAATTGCCAGCTCCTACACTAGCCATTAAAATACATTGATTTGCATGTAGAAAATATAGAGGGAATAGATGCTATTTCAAATTTATTTATATTCCTATTTGTTAGCATTTTTATTAAGCTAAAAAAATCACACTTTTGAGAGGAAGATTGAAATAAATAAAACATAGTATAGAGATTTTTGGGTGATAGTTTACGTGAAATATCATAATGTTCCAAATACTCCAGTTAGTTGAATACTTTCCAGTGACTCAGATTCTTCAACATTTAAAAACTATTGTCTCAGATCCAACATTTATTCCTGGAAAACACTATTTCCTGCTTTTCCATGTCCCCATTGGTTTCTTCACTTATAATAGATTAGCCAAAGAAATTTAAAAAAGTGACTTTTTCTGCACCTGCAGGAGAGACTTCTGCTGACAGAAGCTGGTTTAATTTCAGTTACACCCATGGTCAGTTCTGTCAGATATGGTAGGTGCAGATCTCTTTATCTTCATCCTGCATATCCAGCTGCTCCAAAACTTTCTGAAGTATCTTACTTACAATTAAATTTTTGCTGCCAAGATCCTTCAGGACTACTTCCATTCCACGTACCACACAACTGAAAAGCTTTTCACCTCTAAGCAGACCATGTCTTTTGTCTTCTGCCTACTGTCTGCAGACAACCACATTCACACTTTCACCTAAGCTACTGCCCTTAGAAGACATGCCCCAAGCATACAAGCAACTCTTTCTTGTTGGTCTCTTAACTGTCATCCCTTAATGTCTTTTTAATCTTAGTGTCCTCAGAAACACTGAAAACAGCCAGGTTACTGCTTCATAAGTTCCTTACATGTAACCTCTGCTGTAAATACTTCCCAGTTTTATAAAGCTGTAAGTATGTGCACGTTCCTGATTCATGCCAAATTTGTACAATGATTTGCTAATCCACAAGTCTAGTATTAATGACTGTACAGCAGTGGCGATAGCTATATAAGTAATAATATAAATTAATACTAAAAAATAACAAAGTAATGCTAAACAGCTAGTATTAGATGCCCTACACCACAGAAAATGTACCTTTTGCCTATAATCCTTCATCTGACAGTGGTCTCCATGTATGGGGAAGCATGAAAGCAGGATAAACATATATAGTAACAATCCAGCTTCTGACTAATTTCAGCACAGAGACATCCTGAATCAGATAATAATTTTGGTATTTCTAGTAACTATCGATGGTCTCTTCTCTGTATGTGGCCAGTGCCTCCAAGAATGTAAAGGGGTATGAAGTTTTACCATCTTCAACCTTCATTGCAATTTGTTCCTTGGGTCTGCCAGCCTCCAGTGTGAAGACTTGCCTCTTGCATTTACATGGAAACTCTCTACCAACTTCATACAACGACCTGTAGATCTTCCAGTGGAAAAGACAATGAACAGCCACCTTGACCACTCTTCCGTGCCACATGTACTTTTTAGGATGTCAGTAATTTCCTCCTTTAGGCTCTTTTTAAGCCAGATGACAGGCGTTTCTGACAGCTACAGACAGCTAGCTCAATAGTTCTTCACCCAGAAGCTGTTCAAGGCCTTGTTGCCCTTCTCCAACACTTTCCAGGTCTGCCAGGTTTTTTTTTACTGGAACTGCACAAAGTACCCAAGATGACAGCAAACCACAGCTTTACACAGTAACATACTGAGGTTCTATGGCTGCCTTTCTGTTCACTTCCTAATAATTTCTAGTATTTGATTTGCTTTCTGACCGCTGGACAATAAGCTAATGCTTTCACGGAACTACCACTTATAATCCCAAGATCTTGCTCGTAAGGGATAATAGTTAGCTTGGTCTTCAAAAAGGAAAATATTTCTCTTTCAGATTGAAAGTCCCACAAAAGCCTCAGGAATGTGTCTTAAACGACACTGTTGTGCTAAGATACTGATTTATTATTATTACTACAATTTTAAAAGTGTTGAATTTAAAATTGACTGAAAAGCCTTAAATCTAGTTAAGGAGGACAAACCCAGAAGGACGAGCCACTGTTTTTATCAGTTTCCTATGTTTTTGTGCTTGAACGGGGATGTTTGTTGCAGTGACATACGCGTTATTTCAGAGAAAGCATGAGCAGGGCTTCACAGTTCTCAATGAAGTTAATTTCTGCACTGTGTTTACACACGATCTTAAGTTAATTTTCTGGGAATGTAGAATAACTGTTTTACATTTAGCACGGTTTAGCTTCACTAAGTTTTCTTAAATATAATACAGTTCTGTAAAGATATAAACCACCATGTTAAAACATAAGCATTAACTTATTCTGAGAGTAAACTACCTGCAACAACATTCTGATATGACAACATTTTGTGCCCACTCCACAGTCTGCACAGTTATAAGAGGAGGAGTTTAGGCAGAAGCCCTCAAAGGACAGTTTAACCATCATATATTCTTCCAAATATCACTCACATTATTCTTACGTTTTTCTTCTTTGTTTTCCACTCTCTGTGAAATCTTTCAAAGGAGTGGAATGATCCTTCTCAAAAAGGGAGACCTATTACTGCTTTGAGAGAGATCTTGTAAAACCCTAAACATGCCAGACATTAAATGCACATAAGCAGAACAGTACTTTCAAAGTCAATTAGCTTGAAAGTATAAATATGTTCAAGTTCTCTCTTGGATTAGGACCCCAGAGGCAATTTAGAGCCTTGGCTCCTACAGCTCACTGCATTTTTACTTCAAACCACTTTAGCTCAGCCACACAACAACAACAAAAGTTTTGAAATGTTATTTGCCCAGGATCAAAACCATTCTGCTCTATTTTTCTAAGGTGAAGATGGCAAATGATAAAGGTAATACCTTTCATACAGACTCTTCCCTACCTCTTTCATGAATGTATATGTGTATGTGTGTGTATATGTATATTTAACTCGGATACAATTATTCAAATCTGCTAAACTGTGAACCAGAGTAGAGCTGAGGCAGCACAAAATGGTAAGGAAAAAGAAGGATCCATACTACTAATAAGAAACTGTTCTCTTTAAATTGTTTATACAGGTTTTGGCAGTAGACAGGCTCCAACAGAGCCAGAGCCAATGAAATAACCATTGCCCAGAACTGCTCTGTGGAGTAAACTCTTTCCGCTACAGAAGCACAAGCTCTCTGTCAGCTGCCTCGGACAAAAAACTTATGACAGCTCTTCTACACCATCTAAGTCAGGTCTTAACATCTTGCTTTCCTATTTTAGTAAGTCTTGATGTCCAAGCTGCTTTCCGAAATTCACTTCCTAAAAGATTGACACTGACAAGACTTACGTAATGTTCTTTATTTGTGGCTCATTCTTGCATTGTGAATAGTCTGAATGAATTTCATGGGACTATTTGGTGCAAAAGCAATTAGAGTAACTCTAAAACTTTGTTCAATCTGTTAAGATAACTCTGAATACTGCACAGGAGTCCAGATGAAGAGAATGTCCTAGAAATCTGTACACATCAGCTCTCAAAACAAACTAGACAAAGTTAACTAGTAAGATTTTTAATATTTGAAAGCAAAATCAACCTTTTCAAAAGAGAATAAGTCCAAGTTATGCAAGTCTTCCATATAAAAAATTCCACAAAGATAAAGAATAAGGAACACCAGATCTATTCTTTGACATACAGAAAACAACTTGAGAGGTTCTCGGACAAAACAGAATCCAAGAGAAAAAGACATAGAGAAATGTTCCTTCAATACCTGAGATGACTAGTAATGGTGACCACTTTCAAGCATGCAATTCAGGTTAAACAATATATTGCAGTCACCAGATGGTTTCACCTACAAAAGGAAAGTAGGGTCAATCTGTAAACCCTCTCTGAGTGGTGTCACTGACATATTTATTATTGGCAAATCAAACCACGATGACAAGATAAGAAGCGGATGACAAGGCTTGCATTATTTTCTGTCTCAAAATAATACTTAAAAAAACCCCAATAAAATAGTTTTTCCATAAGATTTCCTGGGAGAAAAATAGTTTGGTTTAAGAGATACGAACCGAAAAGTTTTCAGGTTGCTGGATTAGGGGAAAAATAAAGCCTGTAAAAAACTTGTCCATGTTGGGAAGCCTATCTTTTCTTTTTCTGACTGATAGCTCCCATGAAAGATAAAGCCTGAAGAGAAATCTCCCCTTGCATTTCTGTGGATCAGAATTGTTTTCTCTGGAATGTGGCTGGCTGCATCATTAGGAATGCAAGGCTTTGTGCAAAAATATCACTGAAGATAACACTAGATGCAGTGTCCAAACCAAAAAGCAGACAAACCATAAAGGACATATAATCCAAAAAACTCAGATGTGGTCTTTCCGAATTTATTCTTTATAAGCACACGAGAAATCTATATGATGTGCTCATTAATGTCTCATAAAACATTACACTATATTCTTAGAACATGGAATTAAATAAAAATTATGTAGAAGCACTTTTTACTAATCAGAACACTCTGTCTGTGGTAACTGATATAAACGTGATGAAATTAAGTTTGCCCTAGAACAGTTCTCAAAGTCTCAATGTTTATTTTACTGGCTTTAAAAAATAAGCCTGTTACTTCCATCATTAAAAATCTCAGGCCACTAAACACTATACATGATACGTTTGTTTTTGCTTTTCTAAAAACCAGTAACATTTCCTTTTTAAAAACTCCTTATGGGATAATGGATAAAACACAACAACACTTTTAACAGTGAAAAAAAGTAGTTTATGTGACTAAAGGTCTCTAAGTAACCAATTCTTTCAAGATATCTGTAAGAAAAAGGGCATAGTTACAGAAGCCTTGGTGGCCATCTAGCTGTTTACTCACCCATTTCCTGTCTGGTACTGCAGATTCCTGTCCCATATTTTTGTAACTCTATGGTCACAGTTTTCAAAGCGTTAACATCCGTTTCTGCAAAGCCGAGGTAGTTATAAGAACCCATATTGATTACATTCTTGATAATCCTTCCTGTAAACCTATAATCAAAGCACATTTTAAAGAACAGTGCAACTTTCCCTCCAACCCCAAACAAAAAGAAAAGGAAAAAAACCCCAAATTTTCCAACTGAATTCTGTTCCACTGTCAAATTCTTATTTGGGAATTTATAATCCTCATACTTGAATATTCCAAAAGTTTTTTTCCAGCCTTTCTCTTTTCGTGACTAAATATTGCTTCTTGCTCAGAATGTTTTCTAGATTCCAAGCTGTAGATGGTGATTTATTGGTATTAGGTAACAAGGTGCTTTTATGGACTTGAACAAACAATCAAACCTAAAACTTCATTTAGGGAATAACTTATAGACACTATTTTTTCCGAGCAAATTGTCAACAGCTTCTACGGAGTCATCAGTGTTCACCCACAGAGAGAAATTAAACATGAAAATGTTGTGGCAAACACTACGATGCATTCTCAGTAAGCTGAAATATACACAACCTAGACATTGTTTATGTGGTGAATTTCCATATCTATTTAATTCAGTAACAGTTGGGATACACCAAAAACTTCACGCTGTAAACTGCTTAGAACTCATTGCCAGAGACTCACTATGTAAGTAAGAAGCAGCATATATGAAAAGCAAGAAATTATGATTTACATCCTAACCAAAGGATAGGACAAGGAGTAATGGGTTCACACCGAAACACGGGAGATTTAGGTTGGTTATGAGGAAGAATCTTCACTATGAGGGTGGTGAGGCCCTGGCACAGGGTGCCCAGAGAAGCTGTGGCTGCCCCATCTGTGGCAGTGTTCAAAAGGCCAGGCTGGACGTGGCTTGAAGCAACCTGGTCTAGGGGAAGGTGTCCCTGCCCATGGGAGGGGGTTGGAACTGGATGATCTTAAGGTCCTTTCCAACCCAAACCGTTCTGTGATTCTATGATATAACAAATTTTATTGTAATATTCCCACTAAAGGCCTGTTGTCAAAGATGAAGCATAAGCAGCCTTACTTGTGCCAATACAGCCAAATAAACCCATTTGTGGTAGATTTCAGTCCCTTTTATACTGCGTTTCCAAACAATATTCGGAAGAAAGGGGACAAACTGTCTGCACAGTAGTGATTTCAGGAAAAAATACACTGATGTCTTAATGGAGGATGTAGGTATTAGGGGCTTGGATGCAACATCCTGTGCTTTGCAGATATATCAGGAGGATTCTTACGAAGCTGGCAGCTGCAGTGTAAGGTGACTCACCTAAATGTCCAGTTGTAATCATCTGTAACACGTTCCATGAGGTCAAACTGTGGCCCTGGGACACTGCAAATTGGACGATTCCAGTTATCCCGTATTCTCATATAGAGGTTTCTGGTGTAAAAGTTCTCAAAATCTTGATAAAGTGGCACAAAATCCTGGTTTGAAAACATGCACAGGGTTATGTTGCTGGGAAAACGTCTGCTGCTGTACCCAAGTCATTCCCATTAAAAAGGAAAAATGGATTCATGAGTGAACAGAGCTCTGCAACAACCACATGTTTCTATGTCACAAACAACAACTATAGCAAATATCTTACTTTAATTCCCTGAAATACAGTGTTGGGGTTTTTTTAGGGAGTGATTTTTTGGTTCTTTTGTTGTTGGCTTTGTTTCTTTTTTTAATGGACAACAAGTTGGCCTAATTCTCCAGTCCAACATTTGGAAAGCTAGAAATGGAAGAACTTGTTCTTCTTTTACTGGAAGAAACCAAATGCTTCCTTTGCTATGTGTGGAGCAGATTGCAAAACTGAGATAAACAACTCATTATATTTCATTAAGTGCTGGATACATTAGATTAAAGCTAGTCCAATGTAATTGATCTGGGCATTATTGTCCTAGACTGCACATGCATACAGCCAGTTAGACAACTGGTTTGGTTAACAATTAATTTCTATCTATGGATTTTACTTGGAAATTAAATTAAAAGAAAGGTATGGAATCTAAACAAAGTTTTACATGAAACAGCAACGTAGGCACATTAGACACTGGATACAATAAACTGATAAAATAACATGGTATGTATTTATTTGTGGAAGACTGGAGAATTAAATGAACATGTAATCCGTGGTGGATGGCAGAAAGATTTAACTGGCGTATCTGGAATCAAAATAGCTCAATAAATGGCCAAATCATTCAGTGAATTGAGAAGCATATTCCATGAGAATGCTGATAAAAAGACCGCACCCTGATATTTCATTAAGTGTCATATGCATCTTTGGAAAGCCAAAATGGGAAACAGTTCGGGGAATTTTATTTGTAAGAGGAACAGTAAAACTATTTGCATTTTCCCTCCATTATGGCAGGTTTTATTGTAAATGATGGCTCAACCTGCACAGACAAGGAGGAGCAACAAAAAGTCTAAACAAATTTTGAAACACAGCTGAGCCTCCTGAGGTGTAAGTTTCACTTAGAGCTATATGAGATGAAAACATTTCTAAGCGAGGACTTGCAGGAATTCAGGCTACATTCACTCTGTGCTGGGACAGTGATTCCCGAGTGCTCTGTGATCAGGAGCTCAGCAAACAGAAGTCAGCAATTGCAGATGTTAGCACCACCTATTGCTGTGAAGGACAAGGACAGCTACATGGGGCAAAGAAAAATTGGGTTTTAAGTTAGGAGAGATGATACAGTTAACAACGAGGCATTTCTGAGTGTTCTTTTTGTGTGGATTGGCACGAGAGTCTGTTTTATTGAGAGCATTCTGACACTCTTAGAACATACCTCTGCGTGAAAATTATGATTTTACATATATATAGGGACATACTCATACAGGTGTTTATACTGCAGTGTGTGTCATTCCTCTCATTGCTATGCAGTGTTCTTCTGTAAGATGAAAGTTGTTTGCCTTGTTACTTTGGTAGGTTATTGCACATAACTTGCAAGTAGGGGACAACTCAGCTGTGGATACAGAATGCCTTTTTCATACATACTTTTTGTTGTTCTCTTTCTGCAGCAATGTGACGTTTTTCTAGTCCCCAGGCTCTCATAAAATCTCGCAGGTAGCCAAATATCGTTCCCACTCCAAAACCCAGGAAAGTAAGAACAGCAACATACATTGGCGCCTGTTCAAAGTGCTCAATAAAGGTTTTTTTGTAGAGAGTTCCATTTGATACACCATTCTTCTGAAAACGTAGAACAGAAACTTGTGATTAATACATTGCATCTCATAAAGCTTACACCTTAAATCTCAAGGCAAATAATTTTCCCTAACACAATGCAAATTAGAAGAGACATTTAGACCTCACACTGTATCAGCTGATGCAACTTAAACCTCAGTAAGAGAACCTTTAACTCCTGCAGTTGTTACTGACCACTACAGGTGTTTTCCATTTTCTCTCCTCTCCACCAATGCCCTCAATTGCAGGTGTCTTCAACACCACTCCCTTGTCTATTTTGAAACATGTGAAACTTATTAAATACTGGCAACATATTATTGTGTAATTGGACAATTATTTCAAAGGTGATTAAATGGAAACCACAATACTCTGTTCTCGCAAGACAGAGCTGTAAAAAGGGAAGGGCTGCATTAAAAACTCACCTACACTGCATCTGACACTGCTTCTGTAAGTCTTGTGAAACCCATTGCAGCAACTAACCTATATACAACAAATCCTGTCTAAAATAGGGCACCTTTTCCATGACATTCTTCAGATCTGAAGAAGTATCCAAAACAGCCATAATCCCAGCCTTCTATTTTGGTTCTGATTTCACAAATGCTTTTAATCATCTTTTCAGTGATCTCCCCCATACTTCTAAGGGTACTTAAAAAAAGGCAGGGGGAATGAGGGGAGAGGAGAGACACACAGATAACCTGCTTGTTGGAACTGGTGACCCTATTGTGACTAACTTCTAAAAATACAAAACCATGCATGGGCAAAATAATTTGTCTTGAAAATATACTAAAATTTCCATGTATGTATCGAAGAAGCTAAGTTTTTCAGTTGCAAACCAACTTATATTCAGCAGGTTGATCAGATTACTCTTTGGAAGAGAGGTAGTTTCTCCTAGTTCTGCAAAATACAATGGCTTTTACAGTTACTGTCTTGTAACAGCCAACCTGTCAATTCAAAATAACAAATTGTAATCCAGAAAAAACAGTGTCCTCTATAAAAAAACCCCAAGCAAACAAAAAAAAAAAATCACGTACATTTTTGAGCATATTTTAAAGCAAGACTTCCAACACATGAAGAAATACCATTAATATATTGCTGCCTGTGGGACTGAGCTAAAAAAAATGTAGCTGATCTATTTATGGAATGCAATTATTTTAGCAAGCTAACATAGAATACTCATGTTAAGAACAACTGCAAATTCACTTTACTTGGCAGACCTGGAGTATTATTGATCTTCATATTGCATTAAAATGCCTTTATCCTTCAAAAGCTTTTGATTTCAGTAATAATTTGCTGTCCAATCCCAGATCCACAGTTTTCTTGGGAGAGAGTGAGAAAAGAGAAAGGAAAAAAAAAAAAAGGAAAGAAAAAAGATGTCAGGCACAAGATAGAATATAAAGATTTGGAAGGAAACCCAAGAAGGAAAAAAATGCTGGTAGAGCTGAACAGAAACATATTTAGACTTTGGAAAGATTTTTTGCGCTGTGAAGCAGAAGGAACACAGGGCTGGCTCTCACCATGGGAGGGTGGACACTTGAAACAATGCTACACATGTACTCATACCTCAAGCTAATCACTCTTTTAGGGCAACCTATTTACCATGAAAAACATTTTATGAGGACGAGTTAAATACATGGCCAAGTCATCTTTCACATGAGTCACAACAGCTGTGGGCACACAGCGTCAAGATGAAGTAAATATTTCATCAAGGATTAAGCTCAGCCATTTTACCTTACATTTGACATGAGCTAAGAGCATACTTATGGTCATCTATGGCAATTCCAATTGACATCACAGCTTGTCAAGCTGTGCTGGTGTGATAATGCACCTGAGCCCAGAGGAATTACCATGATAATTCTGTTTATCAGTTTTATTAAGAAACACTTTGTTATGTATCTGATTTGTAAATGAACAGGGAAGCTCGTATTAGACTCCTGCATTGCAAAACTCTTCTTCCACAATAAAACTCTTCTGGTGTGGGGGTCTCATTTCAGGTACTGTTATTTTATGCAGTCAGTGTGACATAGGTAGATAAACACGTAACCACTGTCACCTACAAGTAGCTAGTAGCAAATGGCACCAATAGTAAGAATGTGGAGTTAGACTGTGACCCATATTCTCCAGTCTATGAATGGTGAAAACCAGAAGTCTTTAAGTAGCCCAAGGTTAGTACTAGGCTGGGAGAACAAATTCAGAAAAATACAGGGACATCCTGTCTAAAAACTGAAGTGAGGGAAACAATGAGCACTTCATTTATGCCCAAAGTCCCACCAAAAAAAACAGAGAAAGAGTCTCAGGATTGGAATAACCAAATCAAGTGGATTTGATGATTCTAGAGAGTGGTAATGTGAATGCTTTAGTGCAGCACTTCAAATCCAAGCACTAGGGTATGGGTGACTGACTGAACATCAGGAGGAAGTTCGACAGTTTCAGGTAGACTAAATAGTCAGTGCATGAATGGTTAACTGCTATTTTACATTACATTACTTTTGATTTTGCACATGATAACATGAAGTTTTATCTGAGAAGGAAAGAGGCGAAATTGGAGACTGCATTTAAAACACTTAGGCGGTGAAGATAGGTGTAATTAAGCTATTGCTGGCACCAAAATTAAACACAGCAGATGCCATACATATGCTTGAAAAGGTTCAGAGATCACTGGCTACACAATGGGTGCCCTGCTGATTTGTACACTCACTCGTGTATTACCTGTAATAACGCCTGTAGTAGACAGTATATTTTCTAGCTCCATACCTCAACTGTAGCAATCCTAAATAGCAAATGATTAGGCAAAGATTCTGAAAACCTAAGCAGAGAATTACAATTTCCTCAGTATATTCTCCCAAATTCCAGCAATTGGTGGCTTTGAGATTTCAAGAGGCTGAGATTGTGTTATCGCAGTTAACAGTCATCAGGGAATACCTGTGAATTTGTTGATAATTTTTGAACCCACAAATACTGTGGAAATAAACTGTGGATTCAACGGTTGACTTAATCTGTAAAAATTAATTTCCATTTTTTATTGTAAAACTGCCTGATAATTCCATTTGCCAATTAACTTTGACCACTGTTGTCTGTTCAGCTTTCCTACTCAACCAATCAGTTTTCTGTACTTAAATGACTTCTGCCTTTCCGCTTGTCTCTTCCCAAGCTGAAGAATCTTAATCTGTTTAGTTCTGGTCTAGTTTAGTGTCCTTGTCCTTACATAGAATAAAAAAATAGATCTATGTTAATGCTCAACTTTCTTCTCACTCTGCAAAGTTCAATACTACCTTTTTGAAATGCAGAGGAAGGGAATTAAAATTGCATGCGCATTTGAGGGCACAGTATAGATTTATACATCTGCAAATGCTTTGCCTTGTTTTCTGTTGCTTTTTTAAAGCTTGTTAACGTTCTATCTGCCTTCTTGCCACAGTTCACAGTTTCAGAAATATCTCTTATGATTTGAATATATCCTTCCTCACTTGCAATAAATACCTAATTTAACTCACACTGCTGTTTGTGCATTCTTAGGATCATTTCTCCCTCCAATTCATTAGTTGTTTTTTAGTGATCTGCATTTTTGTCCACTGTTTTACCACACCACACACTAACAATGAGAACTTTCTGCAGTGTTTGCTGTCCAGAGTTAATTTTTCACTCCCTGCAGAGTCTGGTGTTGTCCACACGTATCATCATCTATTCATTCTCACCCCTTTTTCCAGACCATTGGTGGTGTCGTGGTTCAAGCCCAGCCGGCA